TACCTACTTTCTTCTCAGGCTTTCCCGCTTCCTTAGAAGACATTTTCACTTAATGAGAGGAAGAAGATGACAATAATGTACCAAATATGTTTAAGCGACTTGAGCATGGGGCACGATCCTATCCTCTGGAGAGAACAGCTTTGGGACCACAGCCCCCTCCACATCTGCTCACCCACCCAGATTCACGCTGGTGAGCACCTCTGGCTTCATTATGTCGGGTTTCCTACAAGTAAAATTTTTTGTGAGCCATTATAACAAACACTGAAAGGGTGAGAGTTCCCATAGCGAGGGATACCTGAATAGAACGGTATCCTTCCATTCTCCTATTAATGGGTATTTAGATTGCTTCCGATGTTCTGCTTTAGACGCACTGCTGTGATGCACGTTCTTATACATCTGCAGGTTTCTCCTGGTTATGTGCGTTGAGTGGCATGGCTCAGTCTGAGACCATGTGCCTCTTCAACTAATAGAGATTGACAAATTTCCTTGGTCTTAGTTGTGTTCATTCTAGTCTTACTAGCAACACAGAGAAGTTCCTGTCTCCATGCTCCTAGCAAAGTAGGTATTCTCAAACTCTTCCATTTTTGCTAATCCGGTGTGTGTGAAATGACATTTCAATAGTGGTTTTAATTGAAATTTCCCTGGGTGATAGGTTGAACCTATTCTCCTGTGTGTATTAGCCATACCTGCTTTCTCTTTAAAATGCCTGTTTATGGGATCCCTGGGTGGCTCAGCGGTTTGGCTCCTGCCTTTGGCCCAGGGTGCGATCCTGGAGTCCCGGGATCGAGTCCCACGTAGGGCTGCCGGCATGGAGCCTGCTTCTCCCTCTGCCTGTGTCTCTGCCTCTCTCTCTCTCTCTCTCTCTCTCTTTCTGTCTATCATAAATAAATCTTTTTTAATTTTATTTTTATTTTTTATAATAAATTTATTTTTATTGGTGTTCAATTTGCCAACATACAGAATAACACCCAGTGCTCATCCAGTCAAGTGCCCCCTTCATTGCCTGTCACCCATTCACCCCCACCCCCCACCCTCCTCCCCTTCCACCACCCCTAGTTTGTTTCCCAGAGTTAGGAGTCTTCATGTTCTGTCTCCCTTTCTGATATTTCCTACCCATTTCTTCTCCCTTCCCTTCTATTCCCTTTCACTATTATTTATATTTCCCAAATGAATGAGACCATATAATGTTTGTCCTTCTCCAGTTGACTTATTTCACTCTTTAAAAAAATGCCTGTTTGTGTGTTGTGCTCATTTTTCTACTAGGTTATTTAGCTGCTTTTTTTAAAAAAGATTTATTTATTTATTCATTCAGAGAGAACGAGAGAGAGGCAGAGACACAGGCAGAGGGAGAAGCAGGCTCCATGCAGGGAGCCCGACGTGGGACTCGATCCCGGGTCTCCAGGATCACACCCCAGGCTGCAGGCAGTGCTAAACTGCTGCGCCACCAGGGCTGCCCTGTTTAGCTTTTTCTTATTGATATGTAGGAGTTATTTATATTTGCCAAATAATAACCCTTCATCTGTTATACGTGTTGCAATTATCTTCTCTCAGCCTGTGGTCTGTCTTTTCACTGGTGTGTGGGCATGTATGTGTGTGTGTTCAGATTAACTAAACTTTAAAATTTTCATTAGACTTGAGTTCACCCATTTTTTTCCCACATGATTTTTTTCTTTTTCATTGTTTTTCTTTAAGAAATCCTTCCTTAATCCTGGCCCTCAGCAAGAATGCAGTAAATGTTTGTTGAACACAAGCTACAAAGGGAGCTAAAAGGAGGGGCTGGCTTCTGAATGCTGTGGGCATTGGGATGAGGTGACAGGGGCTGATGATGTCATAGAGATGAGGATATGAGAGAAAGTATTTTATTTATTTATTTATTTACTTATTTACTTATTTACTTATTCATGAGAGACACACAGAGAGAGACAGAGACATAGGTAGAGGGAGAAGCAGGTTCCCTGCAGGGAGCCTGATGCAGGACTTGATCCTAGGACCCCGGGATCACAACCTGAGCCAAAGGCAGATGCTCAATCATTTAGCCACCCAGGTGTCCCAAAGGAAAGTATTATAGAGAAAGTATTATTGTCCAGTGAGCAATGGGTCTGGGATGCAGAAGATAGGCTGGGTGGGAGGTGACTGAGTATCCAGCACTCAGGGGTAATTTAAGGAGCCCTCCCCCAGGAAGAATGGGCAGAATGAACAGAGAAGAGGGTGAGACAGAGCCCTGGGGGGATCTAGGAAGCAGAAGGAGAACCAGGAGGGGTCTTGTGGGGGCCACACCTAGAGTTCTTGACAGTATCCATGGAGTCACACTTCTTTAGAGACACAGAGGTTCCTGAGTTTTTCAAGGGGCTGTTCTAGGGGTGTTGTAGGGGCAGAGACTAAGTAAATGGGAAAGGACTGCAGAGGTGGCAACTTCCTGGCAATGAAGGGAAGAGAGGGGGTGGTACCCAGAGGGTGCTGCCCCAAGGCAGGACCGGGGGAGATGCTGGAGCGTGTTCAGAGGTAGGGGGGGAGGAGCCCAGGAGAGAGTAGGGTGCATGAGGGTGTGGGGAACTGGCTGCAGAAACACAAGAACAGCTCTGGGCACTGGCTGGGGCCTTCACCACAGATGAAGGAAGAACCACTTCTTGGGTAGGGGAATGTGAGAAGTTGGGGGCAAAAATTTAAGTGAGCCCCCTCCAGAAAGCCTGGGGTCAGTCCTAAGGTCTGTCTGACACAAGAAAAAGCCAGTGAACATTTGTGAGTGAATTTTCTTGGTGAGTCATGTAGAGGGTGGAGTCAGCAGCTAAGATGGGGAGATCAGTGAGTTAGGGTTTATGGAGAGGGGGAGTTGGGAAGGGCCATTGTGAAGGCAGAGGAGAGCTTTCCTAGGTAAGGGTTTCTAGGGGTGCAAGTCCCTTGAGTCACAGGCAAACACCATCTCCCTACAAAAGGATAAACCAGACAAGGCCTTGCCTCAAGGTCTGAGAGAGCCCCTGACACTAAACACCCCTGGGTCTGTCCTCAGAGCTCTATCCCCCACTCCCTAGTGGCCCAGCCACCATCATCTCTTTTCAGACTATGGCCGGGCCTCCTAGCTGGGCTCCTGCTGCCACCTTGCCCCTCCCACCCGTTCCTCATTCTCCATCCCACAGCTGGAGAAATCTATTCAAGTGAAATTGGACACTTGACGGGATGAGCACTGGGTGTTATGCTGTATGTTGGTAAATTGAACACCAATAAAAATTAATTTATAAAAAAAAAATAAATTGAACACCAATAAAAATAAAAAAAAAAAAAGAAATTGGATTATGTCACTCTGCTGCTCTAAACACTTGGGTGACTCCCACAGCCCTTCAGACAAAGGCCAAATTCCTGACCATTGCCACAAGGCCCGGCTGGGATGGCTCTTGCAACCCACCTCCCACCAGGCCTCCCCGCTTGTGGGGGCGCCTCCAACTCTGGCTGTGCTTCATTTCCCTGAAACAGAGAAGCCCTTTCCTTCCTTAAGCTCTCTGTGCAGTTTCCTCTGCCAGGGATTCTCTTCCCCTCACCGTCAACTGGCTAAGACCGACTTCTCACTTTGGTCTCAGCTTAAATAGTACTTCCTCTGGGAAGTCTTCCCAAATCTCCTGACTTAAACTAGATGCCTCTCCTGCCCCTCATTATAATATTTCATACAGCCCTTCACTTTTCCTTGTTAGCACTCATCAAATGTGTAATTATTTTTTTTATCAAATGTGTAATTATGTATTAACTTGTGTGACTATTTAATGTCTGTGTTCCCCACCAGATTATAAACTCCATGAGGCCAACCCTATCTGGACTGTCTAGCTCATGTGCCTTTCCAGTGCCTACTACAGAACCTGACACATCAGTAGGAACTCAATAATTGTTGAACAAAAGCTGCAGTGGTCACCAAGAGGAGGGGCTGGCTTGTCTGATGGCTATAGGTTGGGAAGGTTTCAGGGATGCAGGAAGTGGAGGCTGCAGTCCCCTAGATCTCAGGAGATAAAGGAAGAGAGGGAAGAGGAGTGATAGGAGTGTTGACATTGATAAGCACCACCTATGTGCCACGTGCTGTCCCATTACACTATCCTACACTCACCGTCCCCACCACCACTCCGACTCCCATCTTTAGCGTGATGTCCCACCAGCTGACCCACATCTGTAAAATGGGTCTCCTAGGATTGTTAGGAGGATCAGGAAGCAGTCTATGGTGTGGAAAGTGCCACTACCCCAGGCTCTGGAGGTATTTGAGCTCTAGAGCCAGACTGCCTGGGTTCAAATCTCAGATCTGCCATTTACCAGCTGGGTGACCTTGGGCAAGTCACTTCATCTGTCTGTGCTTCAGTTTCTCTGCCTGGAAAATGGGATTAAGAACGTCTCTGGAGGGGATCCCTGGGTGGCTCAGTGGTTTAGCGCCTGCCTTTGGCCCTGGGGTGATCCTGGAGTCCCGGGATCGAGTCCCGCATAGGGCTCCCGGCATGGAGCCTGCTTCTCCCTCTGCCTGTGTCCCTCTCTCTCTCTCATGAATAAAAAATAATAATAAATAAAAAAATAAATAAATTCCATTAAAAAAAAAAAAGAACGTCTCTGGAATTGCTAAGGTGATTAAATGAGGTAATGTATTAAAATACCTAGCACGGTGCCTGTCACATAATAGGTACTCAAGAAGTAACACTTCTTATTCCTCCCTCTCTGCCACCAGCTCAGAACTGTAGAATGTCAGAGGCCAGAAGACCTCAGGAATCACCACTTCCCACTGTCTCCAGTACAAAGAGGGAAACTGAGGCCAGGGAAGGGTAGGGGTGCCGGGACCTAGACTGGAGGCCAGGAGTCCCGATCCTTCAGCCAGAGCGCCGCCCCGGCCGCCTGCGGCCTCTTCCAGACTCTTATCAGCACTCCCCGGTCCCCCAAGGGGCGGCGACCCGCCGGTCCAGGCTGGGCGGGACTCCAGGGGGTGCGCTCCGGCCCGCCCCGCCCCCGCCCCGCCCCCGCTCGCGCTCCGGCTGGAGGCATGCGGGAGGCGGGGGGCGCTCGGGCAGGAGCCCGGGCCGCCAACGCTGCCCCGCGGTTTGCGGGTTCGCCTCCTAACGCCAGAGCGAGAGGGTTGCGGGTTCTCCTCTCAGCGCCGGAGCGAGCGACGTTCCCCGCCTGGGGCTGCCGGGGGCTGCGTGGCCCAGGTAAGGGCTGTGCGGGGCGCGGGATCCAGGCGCAGGAGGAGGCCGGGGCGCCGTGAAGGGGGCCCGCCCGCTCCGGGTTCGCAGCGCGGCCCAGGTGGGTTCCCAGGGCTGAGTGTGTGTGTGTGATGTTGACGGTGTGTAAGACATTAGTATGAAATATGGGCAATGTGTGTGTGCTAAGCTGTATGCATTAGTCTGAGGGGGGTGTGTATAGTGTAACCAATGGATTGTGGGGTGTGGCCGCACGCAAGAGGTGTGTGCGGTACCTACCTACAGCTCTGGGTGACTGTGCCAGAGTAACCCAGGGGTTCCGTGTTGCCCGTAGTGTGTGCACACTGTGTGGCAGGAGCCACAGCACAAGGGTGCGTAAGTGTGTGTTGTGCCTGTTTTGAGATGTATAATCTGCGCGTGCCACATCCGTGGCCCTGTGTGGTGTGCTGAGCCGGGTGATGGAAGGTGAGAAGCGTCTGTGTTGCCGTTTCTACCCACAGACTATTTTCCATGACCCTAGGGTGGTTCTTGCTTTTCTACCCAGCACCCCTATAGGCTTGGAAGAATGAAAGTTCATCCCGGATCTGGATGGAGGAAGTATAAACAGTCTCACGCTCGCACACACACACACACACACACACACACAGAGCTTTTTTGAAGTCTAATTTTTTTAATCTTTAGAATTCATGTGGATTTTGCATTCCTCTCTGTAATATTTCTGCATTTATTTTATTTCCTTTTTTAAAAGATTTTATTTATTTATTCATGAGAGACACACAGAGAGAGGCAGAGACACAGGCAGAGGGAGAAGCAGGCTCCACGCAGGGAGCCCGATGTGGGACTCAATCTCGGGTCTGCAGGATCAGGCCCTGGGTTGAAGGCGCCGCTAAACCACTGAGCCACCCCGGCTGCCCTCTGCATTTGTTTTAATGTAAAAATATTGTACTGATAAGTGAATTGACTCAAGGCTCAGCAGGGTTTATCCTATGGTGGGAGTCCTCTGGCACCTGTAGAGTAGGAATCCCTTGTCCTCCAAACTGCGATGGCAGGACTTAACACATCCTGGGGGAGTGTGGCAATGTGTGCAGCACTGTCACGTTGTGGGCAACTGGAGTCATGTGTCACTGTGGGTACTGAATGTGAAGGAAGGGGTCACAGTGATGTGGGGGTATAGTCCCCTCGGAGGGGACTATAGTGGGGTCTGTTGGTTATTTCGAGTCCAGCAGCAGGAGAGATGAGCTCCTGGGGAAGAGCCCTGACCATTAGTGAGATTCTGATGTTTTCTCCACTGGCTGGGCTGGAAGAGTCTGCAGGCCCCCTAGGGACCACAGGGAAGGGGGTTCCCATAGCAGGCTACCAGCTGGGACTATTGAGGTGGTTGTGTTATTCAGGCTTGGTTAAATCCCAGCTCTGGCACTCTCTACATGTAGGACTTAGGTCAAAACCTCTCTGGACCTTAGTTTCTTCCTTTATGGAATGGAGACATTAATATATTTGCCTCATAGGGTCAGGGGATATAAGGATATAAATGCTGGCACAATCTCCAGTACATAAAATCCCTTAGTTGTTGGCGATAAAACTAAGTGCTGCTGATAAAACTATGATGGCTGTGATGGAGCCCCTACATAAAAGTGGTCCCTGCCTGCCTCAGGAACCTTGATTCCCACAGGAACAACGATTTCTCATGAGCTGGGCAGGTGGGAATCTGAGAGCCTTCCATTTAAGTGTGTCTAGGAGATCCATTCCTGTCCCCAATCTCCATCACGGTTTATTCTCAGTGACTCTGTTTTCCTGGGAAGATACAGTCTGAAAGAGGAGGATGCCAAGTTTCTGGCAAGGCCTGGGATGGAGTGTGGGAGGGAGGCTGGGGTAAAGTGCAGGGGTGGCCACGGGTCTTGAATGGTGGCGCCTCTCTCCTGACAGACACTAGAGGAACAGTAAAATAGTAAAATGCTGGCCTTGTGTGTGTGTGTGTGTGTGTGTGTGTGTGTGTGTGTGTTTGGGGACTGGCAGGGGCAAGGGTACCCTTTGCCTGGAATGAGGAAAGTCAAGAAGGGCAAGATCAGAGATGTTTGGTTCCTGGCCCCAGGCAGGCCCTGGGGGCTGGGGGGAGGCAGTGAGGTCAGCGTTAGAACAGATGGGCCTGAGCTCCATGGTGAGCTGACCCAGGAGACCCCTGAAGCGGGGCTCTGTTTTGGGGAGGGGAATCTTTGCATTGGTGGAGCAAGAGCCCTTGTTCCTGATGACTTCATTGGGGCAGTTTAGAGAAGGTGCCTGGAGGCCTCAGAGGAGGAAGGGACATAGAAGGCAGTGTTGGGAGCTGTGGAAACATATTTGGGAGGGCACCTAAATATATCCACTGTGGTGGCAGGGTGCTGTGATGGGCTGGCAGTGAGGCTCAGGACAGAGCAGACACAGACCAGTGTCCTCACTGTCCCCAAGCAGAGAGTGCTCGGGCCGCAATGACCCTGTTGCTACTCCAGGAGGCCTGGAGGACAGAACCTTGCTGGGTAGCAGGAGACCTGGCCGGGCCCTGACTGGCTGGGGGGCAAGGTCAGCTGTCTCTTCTCAGCTGTCAGAATTCTTTTAATCCACAATTCCAGCTATAATCATTCGTGATTCTATAGCCCTTGCCCCAAGAATCTATAATCCCAAATCACACATTCCTTTTTTTTTTTTTAAGATTTTATTTATTTATTCACGAGAAGCAGAGAGAGAGAGAGAGACAGAGACATAGGCAGAGGGAGAAGCATGCTCCCTGCAGGAAGCCCAATGTGGGACTCGATCCCAGGACCTCAGGACTATGTCCTGAGCTGAAGGCAGACGCTCAACCACTCAGCCACCCAGGAGTCCCTCAACTCACATATTCTTAAAGTTTATAATCTACATTCTAACTTCCTGTGCCCCAGCTGTAACACTCCCTGATTCGAACTTAAATGTTCAAGAATTCTGACCCTGGCTCTGGCAGCCTGACATTTGAAAGCTTATAAACTACCAGAGAAAATGTACCAGTGGTCACTTCTGCAGAATTGTTTGAGAAGCCCCAGGAAATCTCCCTCTATAGCCAACCACAAACATTGGAGCTGCTCCTCTGGGGTAAGGGAAGGTCCCTGGTAAAATGGCCACATGCTCCCTGGGATGAGTGACAGTGAACCTCAAGGCCCTTCCTCAACAGAACAATGGAGGTACTTGGAACTCACAGCTTTCAGGGAAGGGGGTGGCCCAGGAGAGAGAGTGCTTTGGATCAGAGGTTGTCATCATTCCCCTTGGTAGGAGGGAATTGTGGGATCGCTGGGTTCCTAGAGGAGCCACAAAGAGTATGAAGGAAGAGGAAAAGAAATGGGACTGAGGAAATCCCAAAGGCAAACCTCACTATGTCTGAGACTCTCTAAGTAGCTTAGGTTTTAGAGAAGACTCTTTTGGTGTTCCCATCATCAGCACCATTAATGCACAGCTGTGTTCGAACTCAGCATGGGCTGGGGATTGGAGGGCTGAAGGCCAGTGCTAGTGTCAGTGGTATGACTTTGCACAAGTCACTTTCCCTCCCCAGAACTCACTTTGCTCCTCTGGCAGACTTGGCAAACTGGCCCACAGGACTAAAACTCCCTGACCTCTCTGCTACCACTGACGACAGCAGCACCATTGTGGCCTCCTGGGAATCCCTGGGCCAGACTATAAACGGTAGCCGAATGGGTGGGGAGAGAATGAATAAATGAATGATCAGATGAAGAGTTGTGAAAATACAGCACAAGGCACCATGACTGTGATCTCTCTTCCCTCCTCCTTGCTCAGCCTCAGCACACGTGTGAGAAACTGGTCTCAGAACTCAAAGAACTGGGGGGCTGGTCCTTTGGAAGAACCCGGGATTGGCTGAGAGTTATGAGACTGGGTGGGGTGGGGGGACTCCCCTCGTGTCACCCCTTCTAGAGCATTTCCACTTCCAGCCCAGCCCTGAGCCTGCTGATTCACAATGCTCTCTGTGATTATTTCCCCATGACCACCCCTCCACCCCCAAGCTGATGATTGAAGGAAGGAACTGTAGTTTCCGGTGCAGCAGTTCTGGAGGCTGGGTGGGGAGCAGGAGCCTCCCAGAGGCTGGGGAAGAGCAGAGGCCAGGCTGTGTGAAGCAGGGCGAGGACGGGAGTGGCCCACATCTGGGCAGTATTAGCATGAATGAAGAGGGGACAGATAGCATACTTACACCAGCGCCTACTGTGTGAGGTACTGTGCCCAGTCCTTATCTGTGTGCTCTCTGTCCTCCAGCCACCCTAGCAGGAACAAAGGTGTCAGATACATTCTGGGCTTCTTCCTCCATTTGGTGATCAAGCCCCACTGCACCTGTCTCCCAAATATCTCTCCAATGGTCCCCTTGTCTCCAACCCTGTGACTTTGGCTCAGCTCAGGAATCCTCACAGCCTCCCACTGCCAGCCCCATTCTTCCCTCCCTTTTTATTTTGGCTTCCAGGAAGCTCAGCCACCATCTTCGTCTAGATTTCTCTACCATTTTTTCTGCCCTGCCTCTAATAGGATCATTTGGCCCAAGTGGCTATTGTCTGTGCTGTCTCTAGCCCTGTAAGGACAGAGTTGTAAATTCTAAAACAAATCATAAGTAAAATCTGATATTTCCTAGATTCTTAGGAAGAGGTCCACTGGCTCTTTGAGGTTTTCACTTTTTTGTTTATTGCCTATCTTACCACACTGACTCTTACCCAGACATGGAGACGCTGGTGTAGTGGATTCACAATCCAAAGCATTGTGTTCAAATCCTGGCTCTACTACTACTAGCTATATGAATTTTGAGCAAGTTACCCAACCACTCAGTCCCTCAATTCCCCATCTGTAATACAGGGATGGTAATGGTGTGTACCTTATAGGGCTGTATGAGGATCGAACGAGATGTTATAAGCATTGTGTGTTTGCCTATACAGTTGTTACCCGAATTGGCCTTTGCCATCTTGGAAAGGCCATCAGGAAGAGGGACTGGATCTGTATAGAATGTTCTATATCAGCGTTTCTCAAATGTCAATGTATGCCTGGATCTCTTAGGATCTGATTCAGTAGGTTAAGGTCGGGCCTTAGGGTGCATTTCTAACACACTCTCAG